CCCAGAGCTGAGCTCAGGGCATAGCCCCGCTTCTGCTGCCACTGGATTAATGTCCACTAAAGCCAACAGGACTCTTCGTCCTCTCCCAGGACTCTCCCTCTGCAGAGGGAGACAACAGACAGACGACAGAGCAGACGACACTGGAGCTGACCCAAATCTCCTGCCAGGTTCTGCCTCTATCATCATCATGATCCCAAACACTGTCAAGAGCAGGGTGTTGGGCCTTACCTCATGGGCTGTGAACTCGCACTCCCTCTTCCCTCTTTGTTGCCCTCCCCACAGTGTCATTCCCAATCCAGGGCTGGAAGATGAAGGAGAGATAAAGGAAATGTGGTACTTCATTGCAAAGCTTCTGTCCGCCTGCAACGCTCAGAGGTCCCACTGCCACGTTTCCCTGCTTCCACAGTCACTCCTTCAAGTCCCAGTCCTCACCCACCATGAGCCTGCAGACAGAGAGAAGGTGCCTGCGAGCAGCCTTGCTCTTGTCCCTGCAGGCAGGGGCTGAGGCAGGCTGGCAGGACTTGCCCTGGGGCGAAGAGCAGGGTGAAGTGGGTGTTGGGGGCTTTGGGGCTGCTCCTTTCCTAAAGAAATGTGGAGCTAGGCAGTTTGGTGCATAGCTGCGAGCACTTTCATCTTCTTGCTGTGGGCACAAACTGTGTCCCCCTGAGGATTTTCACTCCTTCCACTGGCATGTTTTTCACCTGGTGCTGGGGGTATCTGGTCAGAGACATTAGGAGATGGAGATGTGATTTATGACCAAAGTAGTGCTCCACACTACTGCTTGCCCACTCTCCATTGGGCTTGCTTCGTGTGATTCTCAGTCTTCAGTTTCCTTTGCTTGCTTTCTAGTTTTTCTGGTTTTAATTCTCTCTCTGAGCACCTTAATTTGGCCTCTTGCCTCCTCATTCTTTGGCTTTGCCTTCTCCCAGAGGGTTGGGGCTGGTGCATGTGAGAGGTGGGTTTGCTGCAAGAGCAGAGATCCTGGCTGGCCTGTGTCTGTTCCTTCTGCCTGTTCCTGTGTTCCCTCACATGCTGGGCCTTTCACCCTCTTTTTTTTTCTTTTCCCTTTAGCCCATAGTTGTCCGGCATCACTGGGTACACCGGAGGCGGCAGGAAGGGAAGTGCCGGCAGTGTGGCAAGGTGAGAGGGCATCTCGTGGTTTTTTTTTTTCTCAGCCTGAAGGAAAGCTAAGGGCAAACCAGAGACAAGATCAGGGCTGGGGACCAGGGACATCCCACGGTTCCTGTTTGGTGGCAACAGCCTACAGTAACTCCAAGGCGCGTGCCTTCTTTTGCGCAGTGAAGCAACTACATAAGTGCTTCCCACACAGAGTTGTTTTCCCCCTGGGCCCAATCAATCCTGGAGGAGACTGTCTTCCTGACATGCTTTCCTTGGGCAATAGGGACACCCCTGCAGAGCGCAGTGGCCTCCCTGGTGCCGTGGTGGTGGTTGGGGCTATCTGACAGGGATCCGGAGGGCTCCAGCTGCAGGCACACCCTTTCTGTTAACATCTCTCTTGGTGCTGGGGAAGTCCTGTTGGATGGTACAAAGCTGTGAGGGAATTCCCTAAGCCTCTTTTATCCTTCCCTCTACAGGGTTTCCAGCAGAAGTTTGCCTTCCACAGTAAAGAGATTGTAGCCATCAGCTGTTCATGGTGCAAGCAAGCGGTGAGCAAAGGCCCCATTGAACATCTTACCAGCCTGTTCTGCATCTAATGACCTCTGCTTTCTGCTGGGACCCCCCAGTCTGCTTCTCTGCAGCCTGCCCTTACAGCTTCTCTTACTGGGAGAGGCTGTACTGTGGTAGCTGGGAGCTCCTACGAAAAACTTTCTCCTCACTGCCTTCCCATTACAAAATTCTTGCATGGTTTCCTCCAGCACTCCTTGTACTGGCATGGGGGAGCTGGGAGGAGAAGGTCTCCAGCAAGCTGAGCAGCTGAGTTTTCTGTCTGTCTCTCCTCTACTTCTTCCTCAGTATCACAGCAAAGTGTCGTGTTTCATGCTGCAACACATCGAGGAGCCCTGTTCACTGGGGGCTCACGCTGCTGTTGTTGTTCCTCCCACCTGGATTCTGCGGGTCCGACGGCCCCAGGTAACTCACCTCAGCCCTTGTGGCTCTTTCAGAACTCCTGCTTGCCCAGCAGCTCCTCACGGAGTTTTTGTGTTTGTTTCTTTTCTCTCTAGAATCCACTAAAATCTAGTAAGAAGAAGAAGAGGACATCGTTCAAACGGAAATCCAGCAAAAAGGGGGCCGAGGTAAGAGATGAGGGGACAGGGAATGACCTTGTCTTGGAAGGGCAGAGGGACTGGGCAGTGAGGAGCAGGACTGGGAAACAAGGGGGCTTCGCGGGGTCTGCGCTGGGGTTAAGGAGGGTGAGGTGGTGAGAGGGTGACTGCTGGCAGGGCAAATCCCAGCTGTAAGGCTTACAGGGTGGCTGGGATGTTCTCTTCCTCCCACTCCTGACCGTGTGTGATGCTGGGGCTCAGCTGGAGGTGGGAGTTTGCGTTTTGCCGGCTTTGTTGAAGGACCTGCGGTGTCTCTTGCAGGAAGGGAGGTGGAAACCCTTTGTCATCAAGCCCATGCCGGCTCCTCTCATGAAACCCTTGCTGGTGTTTGTGAACCCCAAGAGTGGTGGGAATCAGGTATGGCCTTGTCCTACATCTCCCTGAGAAGGCAGCTCTATGGGGACATTGCCTTTTGGCTGCTGAGGACTCAGCATAGTTTTGATAATGTCTCAGCTGCAAAAGAGGCAAGGCAACGTCCGCAATGCCAGTTTGCTGCCCGGCAATTCCCACCTAGGCCAGGCTTTGCCTGAGTCCCCCCAGAACGCCGTTGTCTTGGCCTGTCCTCGAGACCAGGTGCCTTCTCTCTGTCCACTGGGAACTCCATGTTCCCTGCTGAAGTCTTTCTTGTCCTCACAGGGAGCCAAGATCATCCAATCCTTCATGTGGTATCTCAACCCACGGCAAGTTTTTGACCTCAGCCAGGGTGGACCCAAGGAGGCGTGAGTACTGATGGGGGCAGCACCCTTCTCTCCCCCATCCCTGCCCCAGAGATTCCTCCCCAGAGCTCTTCCCGTGGCTAGTGGAGGCCTGATGCTCCATACCTGCCTTGGGCAAAGGCACCTCCAACGCGGTCATGCTTTGAGAGGCCTCTCTGGGATACCTTGCGGCCAGTCCTGGCCTTACAGTGCTTCCTGCTGGAGGGCTCATCTAATCTTAAGGCTAGTGGCAGAGAGACCAGCTTTAGGGTGACATTCCCAAATCTAGTTCATTATGTTCCATTAATGTTGCGTGCGTCTTGTCTGCTGGCTGCATTTCAGCTTATCTACATGCATGCGGACTGCGGACACCCCGCTATTCCTCTGCAAGGACTGGTGAAGCCAAAGTTACTGTGGCTTTGCCCGCGGCTGTGAATGGCTGTGGCAATGGGGAGGGAGACACAAGTGGCTTTGTCAATGCCATGGGCTCTGCAAGGGCAGGGAGCCCTGCAAGTTGCTGCGTAACACCTTCGGTGCCTCTTCCCTCCCTTCCTTACCCTCTCTTTTCCCTGCAGGCTGGAGCTGTACCGCAAGGTCCACAACCTCCGGATCCTGGCGTGCGGGGGAGACGGCACAGTGAGTCCCCTGGCCCCTTCGTGCCTGCGATATCCTTCGCCCCAGGCCTTTCCAGTGCCACCCACAGCCCTCCTTGCTGTAATCCAGAATGGGGCAAAATGTGCGCACTGTGTCCATGGTCCAGCTGGTGGCACTGGATACAGTGGGTCCCCTCATACACTGCTCCAGGGAGTGCTCATCTGTGGCATGTCTGGATTTGTCGCCCTTTTTGGGAGGCCAGTGTCCTCACTGGGGTTACTGGTATCTCCTGCAGCACCTGTTTGGAGCATTAAAGACTGTGAATAGCCTTGATGGTGGCTAAGGGGACCCCATCTCTGCCCCTCTGCCATCGCTAGTGCTGCCAGTCTCTGAAATAACCATTTCTTTGCACTCTCTTGCTTGAGCAGGTGGGCTGGATACTCTCCATTCTGGACCAGTTACGCCTCAACCCACCTCCTCCTGTGGCCATCCTACCTTTGGGGACAGGGAATGACTTGGCCAGGACGCTGAACTGGGGTGGGGTGAGTGACGGGCAGAATAGCTCACTGCTGACAGAGGGGGGCTGAGCGCTTCAGCTCTGGTTCCAGACATACGGGTGGAGATTTGCACTGGCTGGCTGTTTTGACTTTCCTTAACTACCGGCCAACAAATAAGTGCAGTTTGGATGTTACTGTTCTGACATTTGAATTATTCTGAATTAGGTTATAATATATTAGGACATTAACAAAAGCAATTATTATTTCAAACTTTGGGAGATTTTTAGAAGGAAGATGTATTGTTTTTAAATTTAAAGTCCCACTTTGTTAGCGTTCCAGTAGAATTGGTCTTTTCCGCACCCTTTGCTCTGGGATGTCTTCCCAAAGAAGACAACATCTCTGCAGGATGCAGGTAGGAGACTCATCAAGTCCTGCTCTTCACCAGGGTTACACAGATGAGCCTCTGTCCAAGATCCTGTCGCACGTGGAAGATGGGAACATTGTGCAGCTCGATCGCTGGAACCTCCAAGTGAAGCCAAACCCTGACGCGAACCCTGAGGAGAAGGATGAGGCGGCCGCTGACAAGGTGGGACACTTACTCTCCACGTTCGTTCCCTGCACTGGGGGTCTGTGTTCTCCTTCTCCCACTGGCTCCAGCAGCCCCAGCACCTGGGGCTACAGTGTTGGGCTGGCATTTCCCTGCTCCAATTCCAGTCCTCTCCTCATGGCTCTGACCCATGGCACTCATGGCGAGGTGCGTAGAGATCAGAGCTAAATGTCCACCAGAGGTTTTTAACCATAGCTTGCAACAGATGTAAGCCCAGTCCCCTCTGAGACTGTTTCTTTAGCAGAAACATGGGTGATTGCAGGTATCTTGGAGAGCAGACTATGTCCCCTTGGGGCATGTCTCTTGCCCCTAGGAGCCAGGGTCCATTGTCTCAGGCTGGTAACCCCTGTATTTTCCTGGGGGGAGGGCAAGCCTCTGCTCCCTCAGCCTCGTGAGCACGGTGCCTGGCTCTGCTATAGCCTGACCTCGTCTCTGCCGTGGCCACAGGCTGGCAGCCTCATCTTTGTTCCTCCTTTCCGTTTCAGCTCCCCTTGGATGTCTTTAATAACTATTTCAGCCTTGGCTTTGACGCACGGGTGACGCTGGAGTTCCATGAATCCCGAGGTACGGGGGGGGGTGGCAGGACTGGGGCAGGGTCTGTGGTGACAGGGTGCCCCAGAGGTGGGCCCATAAAACGCTCCTTGGGAAAAGTGAACATGAGATTTCCCCAGGGACGGGGCTGAAGATGAAACCTGAGGAGCAAGGGGAGGCTGCAGAGGGGGAAGAGGGGTGCCTGCATGGGAAGAGAGCTAGGGGCTGCCTCCTGGCTGAGGCTGGCTGGAGAGCCATGTCTGGGGAGAGCTGGCAAGTGAAGTATTTCCATGTGCAGGCCAATGACCTGGACTTTTTTCTCCTTTCCCTAGAGGCCAACCCAGAGAAGTTCAACAGCCGGTTTCGGAATAAAATGTTCTATGCTGGGGTGAGTGTGTGGAGAATATCTGGGCATGCCTTCATAGCAGCCTTAGTGTCAGCTGGAGCACAGGCATGGCCCCAGCTCCTGTCCGCACCCTCAACTCATTCATCTGAGTTACAGGGGCCTTCACGTGCACCCAAGCTGAGCACCCTCCGAAGCTGGAGGGGTGCTGGAGAAAGGCTGCAGCCCTGGGAGTCACAGCTCCTCTTTGGCTGCAAGCGCTGCTGGTGGTACAGCTTGCTCTCTGGCCTGTGGTACAGTTGCTGTCTTGATCTCCTGCCACTATTGTTCTTGTTCTCTGGCTTGCGGACAGTCACCCAGACAGGACCTCCTCGAAGCTGTGGGGAGGCAGGCTGTGCCCCCTGCAGAGGAACGGGAAGCCTTTCCATAGAGTCCCCACACTACTTTGGTCTTTCATTTTGTACCTTGGGCCAGTTACAGCTCCCTGGCTAATTATGCCACCCTCCTGTACCTCATTTCTAGAGCTTTGTGTCTCAGTGTTGTCTTTGTCCATCCCCCGCTCCTCAATATACCTCCCTATCCATGTGGCTGGGTGACCAGTATTTGAGCAGTACTAAAGGCCAAGTGTCACTCTGTACGGTCTTGCATCTCTCTTGTTTGTGTCTCCCCTCCTCTCTGTACAGTTAAACCCAAAGGGGACCCTAGGATCTGTGTAACAGAGGCCATACTGTCTCTCCTCATATCTCTAGATCAGGTCACATCAGCTCTTTTTTATGGTACTTCAGTGCAGCTTGAGACTGAATTTGTCTCTTGTGACTCAAGTCTCTCACAAGAGGAGACCCACGTTGCCAGCTCTTCCCTACAGCTGAGACTGGGCTGGCATGGGAATACTGGGGGGCGTTTCTAAAGGTGCCCTGAGGTTTTGGGTAGGCAAAGTGGCCAGAGGAATGGATCAGGTTGTTTTGGGAGGGGAGAAGAGAGGACTTCTGCCAGTGAATAAGGAAGGCATTTGCTGCTCTCAGCAGCTGAGGTCTGAAGGTCAGTGGCAGGCTTCCTGGCTGACTGTTTTGGTGAACATGTGGGCACTAACGCTGTCTCTTGCCTTGGCAGACTGCTTTCTCCGACTTCCTCACAGGGAGCTCCAAAGACTTAGCGAAGCACGTCAAGTTGGTTGTGAGTATGCAGGGGTGCTCTGGGCCAGGGAGGGAGTTGAGCTGCTGGGGGGTGAGGAGCGGTCCCTTGGCACACTGGATATCTCAGGACTGGGGAGAGGATGTGTTCCTGGGAACATTGGCTTCCCCTGGCTTGGAGGACAGTCACCGTGGGGAGCAGAGGGACATTGTTTCCTCCAAGGTGGGTAGGGTGGGCCAAGCACCCCCTTACAGCAGCCTGAATGCCCCTGTGTTGTCTCCAGTGCGATGGGACAGACCTGACCTCTAAGATCCAGGACCTGAAGCCCCAGTGCCTGGTCTTCCTGAACATCCCCAGGTGAGCAGCCCCAGGACCTGCCCTCATGTGCTGGGCTCCTCACCCCCGTGCCACAGATCCCTGCCCAGGTTTGGGGGGCCTGTCCATGCATTGCTTGCCATCCCTTCACAGGTACTGTGCAGGCACCATGCCCTGGGGCAACCCCGGGGAGCACCATGACTTCGAGCCGCAGCGCCACGATGATGGCTGCATTGAAGTTATTGGCTTCACCATGACATCCCTGGTGAGTTGGTGCTGTTGCCAGTTGTAGCTAGCAATGAGGGGAGCGACTGGTCCCATTGACCAGGCATCGGGCCAGCTCCCCAGCTTCCCTCCTGAGGAGCTGTAGTGCTGGCCTGTGTGACAGTGTCTGCTCTCTGAGATTTAGGCGAGGTGCTGTCATGCCCTGGTCTCTGTGGATCCCTTCCAGAATTTGGTTCACTTGTGGCATCTGGCCGACAATGGGTGCCTCCCCCCATCCACCCCTCAGTCTGTGCTCTGCTCTCACTCTGGACCCTTTCACAGGCTGCCGTGCAGGTCGGTGGCCATGGAGAACGGCTGTGCCAGTGCCGGCAGGTGGTTCTCACCACGTCCAAGGCCATCCCCATGCAGGTGGATGGAGAGCCCTGCAAGCTGGCGGCTTCCTGCATCCACATCTCCCTGCGCAACCAAGCCAACATGGTGCAGAAGACCAAGCGGCGCAACTCCATGCCTCTGCTCAATGAGTAGGTTCCTCAGATCAGTCTGCCACCTCCTCTCCAAAGCAGAAGGGATGGAGGGGGAAGGGATGGGACTGATCCATCACTCCCAGAGGCATTTTGATCCTCTCTCAAGATGGCTCTGGGAAGGGATCAGGTCACAGAAGTATGGCCAGACCCTGATGCTGGAGCAGCTGCTGGTGCCAAGCTCCCCACCCCAGTCTGTGCTCTTGCCTGTTTTGGAGGGGTGAGTGGGATAACAAGTGGGCTGTCACTTTCTGATCCCTTCCCGTTTCCTTCCCCCCTGCACGCAGCCAGCAGCCAGTGCCTGAGCGGCTGCGGATCCGGGTGAGCCGAATCAGCATGCGTGACTATGAGGCACTACACTATGACAAGGAAAAGCTCAAGGAAGCCTGTGAGTGACCAGCTGAATGACCAGGGGGTGGGAGCCGCAGCGCCCTCAGCTCGGCTGTGTGAGGTGTTGGGGATGGGGCATGGGCTGCTCCCTAAGTTGTGTCTGTGCCGTGTCATGCAGCTGTGCCGCTGGGGATCATTGTGGTTCCAGGAGACAGCGACCTGGAGTTGTGTCGGACCCAAATTGAGAGGCTGCAGGAGGTGAGGGTTTGCATGGGAAATGTTCACAGCTGGATGCTGAGGATGGAGGGGCTCAGGGAAGAGATTTCTAAGCCTCCTTGACCTGCATGCTCCTGCTTCTGGTAGCAGGTCACAGTTTGCCTTCACCCCATGGTGGAGGCAGGATCCCAAGCTGGATGACTTGTTGCTCCCTACTCTCTGGCAGCTTCTTTCTCAGTGTTGCTCTTCTGACCTTTCTCTCCAGGCCCAGAGTGTCAGTGGCCCAGAAAAATTATGGGGCAGTGGAAAAAGGCAGCATACATCCTATAGGGCCTATCACCTTCTGGGTGTTTGGGGAGGCCTTTCCTCTGTCCCTTTGTTTGCTGTGCTGTGTTTCTTCAGCCCTCTGTGGGCTCCGTGTTTCCTGGCACAGCTATGCCCCTCCCAGGGTGCCTGGATTAGGGGTACTCCCCCCTCCAGCTCTCTTCATTTGCAAGTACTAACTTTTGTGCTCCTGCCAATGTGCTAGTGCGTGTGTCCGTGACCCGGACATGGGCTGCATAACCCTTGCTCCTGGTGAGCAATGGCTTCTGAGCCCACAGCGTGCCTCCTGGTGCCACACTGCTCAGTCTGATTTTTTCTCTCAGAAGATTGAAGGGACCTTGCTCAGTCCCCAGTTAGCTGCCTCTTGTGCCTGAGGAATCCCATCCAGCATGTGCATAGTGTCCTGCAGGGCTGAGTTGCAGAGCTGCTTGCCCAGGCTGGCATCTGCTCCTTGCTCTGCATGACTATCCCCTGCCCACCTTGTGCCCAGGCACTGGTGAGGACATGCAGACAGGCACAAGGCTAGCAGCTCCTGGGCTCAGAGGGTAGCACTTTCCTATGGCATCAGCCTGATAGACTGATGCCTCTGTAGTCTCTTGCACCTCTAAAGCTGTGCGTTGAGGCTGGTGTTCCTCAGTCACCTCGTGGCTTACCTCTTCTCTCTCCTTGGACAACCACTGTGCTCTGGCCTGCAGGGCAGGGACTAGGGACCTTGGCCAGGCAGTGTGTAAAGCCAAATATGGCAGCACATTAAGCAACACCAATGGGATGAGAGAGGGGCTGGGGGGCCGACCAGACAAAGGCTGTAACGGCACACCTTGCCTTTCTGCAGGATTTCCCTCCACAGCCTTCTGCTTTAGAGCACCTGCTCTTTCAGGTGTGTATGGCCTCACTCCGTCCCCTGGGCCCATCTGTCATGTCCAGCATGCCGGTTTCATGGGCTCGTCTTGTGGCACCTCTCTCTCCAGTGAGCTGGTGTGTGTCGGCTCCAGTCTGTCCCATGCTGCTCCCCGTCACTGTGTGCTGTGCCTGTGTTCAAGTTCCCCTTTCCATCCAAGCGCCTGTGGTCCTTCATGTCTGCAGGGACCTCCCAAAGCAGGAGGGACACTCTGGGAAGAGATGGGGAAGCCAAGAGACACGACTTTATCCTCTCTCTTTATATGCAGGAGGGAGATGGAGCCAAACCGAAGACACTGTCATCCCAGAAGCTGTCGCCCAAGTGGTGCTTCCTGGACTGTGAGTATCATCTTCCCCTGGGAGTGCTGACTGTGTCTGAATTTGGAGGAGTGAGGGGACAGATTCTTAGTGACAAGCCTCTGAGAGCCACATGGGACTCGGGACCCATGGGTGTTGGGGGCTTTAAGGCCGAGTGCAGCAGTTTTTTGCCCCAGGCTGTGTCTCTGGCTGCTGACCACAAGTGGAGCGAGGGGCATCTGCTGGTCTCCTGCCCCCAGAGCTGAAGGCAGCTTTGTGGCATGTGTCCCGTTGCTGCGGGACTGCTGGGGCTGCTCTCCTGTGTCATGCAGGCAGGGGGCCACCCTGCTCCAGCACACTGGGAGCAAGGCTCACCGTGAGCATCCCAGTGGTATG